CTTTTAGACATTGTGTGCATTAGCTGTATATAATATAACAATAATTGATCTTCCATTTCCGTTAGCTCTTTATAAAAAGCTTTTAAATAAAGGAAATATTGATCTTGATGATATGAAATCATTATCTCCACAATTATATAAAAGTTTGAAATATTTATTAAATTATAAAGAAGATGATCTTGAAACAAGTCTTTGTTATACATTTGAAATTGAACGTGAAGTATATGAAGAAAAATCTCGAATTGAATTAAAACCTGGTGGTGCATCAATAATGGTTAATCAAAAGAATAAACAAGAATTTATTGATTTATATATTAATTATGTATTTAATAAATCATGTGAAAAACAATTTCAAGCATTTTCAAATGGTTTTCGTCGAGTTATTAATTCTAAACCGCTTGAACTATTTTATCCCGATGAATTAATGTCATTTGTTGTAAGTTTTCAATGAAATAAAACCGCAATATATATATAAAATATATTCTTAGATTGGTAATACCAATTATGATTGGAATGAATTTCAGAAAAAAACTGAATATAAAGGAGAATATCATGCAAATCATCCGGTGATGTAAGTTATATCTATTGAAATTTTTCCTTAAAAATCTTTATTTATTTTAGTCAATGGTTTTGGCAAGTGTTTCATAAGTTAGATGAACCCGAGAGAAAGAAATTTCTTCGTAAGTATACGTATTTTTATAAGAGGAAAAAAACGAAATAAATGACTGTGAATATGCGAGGATAAATATCAGTGAAATATAAATTACGACTGTTTTAATATCATTAGATCGTGAGCTAAACTATAACGCGATAGATGGAATTTTGTATTTAAACGAAGTATTAAAAACTCACCAATGCCTTATTAGTTTATCGATCGTAATCATAGAATCAATTTTATATGTGATTAAAATGACTAAGATAGATTAGTCGATTGTTAGTATTAGCTGATCGAAAATTAATTCTGAATATTCTATATGACAGCTACATTTCTTTTGCTATACTCCATCACATAAATCATAATGATAAAAAATACTATTTCTTAAATATCTATCGGTTCTGCGTCTTAATGAATAATCAGAGATAAATGATGTATTAGCCTACATTTAATTATCGCAAAAGATCTTCATAAAAAAAGATTCTCAAAATATACTTAGCATCTATATAATTCAAAAATTTACATTGAATGTTTTCATTTAGTATTTTTAACTGGTTCCGATCGAGTACCTGTTTTTGGATGGAGTCAAACTCAAGTAAGAAAATTGAATTATTTATTAAACTAAATCAAAATATATATTCTATTTCTAGCCGATGACAATTCAACGAAGTCATACAGATGATATACATTTACCTGTTAGTCATACATGTTTTAATGTTCTTGATTTACCATCATATTCATCAAAAGAAGTTCTTAAAACTAAATTAATTGATGCTATTCAACATAATCAAGGTTTCAATTTGGTTTAGATATTTTATTCGATTAAAAAAACACAAATTCTATTTTCTATTCACTCATTTATAGAAACAACAATCAAGCATTTCTATTTTCTATTCCTATTTTTTTTTTCGCGGATAACTTCATGCTCTCTTTCGCACATATACTATTTATCGACTGACAATAAGAACAGAATTTTATTTTGTGATAAATTCTTTCTGTAAGAATTAATTCTAGTTTGTCTTTTTTTTTTGTTTTGTAAAAAAATCGAAAAAGAAAAAAAACTTCCTTTTCTTGTTTTGCATGAATAGAAAAAAATCTCTTTGAATATTTTCAAGCAACGATTTGATTATATTTTATATATAAAATAAAAATATATAAGCATAGCTGTTTTTTTAAATAGTATATTGGTTGATTGGAAACGAATATGTTGATCAATATAAATCAGTTGATGGAACATCTGAAAATGAATACAAATATATTTTGCGATGAACATAAATTGAAGACTGCTATAATAAAGAACTAAATCTTGTTGAAAGACTATGATCTTCAATTGAGTGAATATAAGATTTAAGAATATTCTTACGTCAATTTTTTGTTTACGCACTGATTCTTCTATAGAAATGACAAAGAATTATATTCATGATTCATGTGGAAAAGTACGAGTACCGTTAAAATTCAATTAACACTTGCCCTAAAGACAACTTTAAAAAATGACTCATAATCTAATTCTGTCACAAAACGATATTATGTATTCTTCTTTTATTTCGGATAGGACTAATATTTCAAAAATTAATCTATCATTCTACTTAATTAATATTATTGAAGTTACAAACTCTATATCATTTTGTTATTATGAGTGTAGCTGAAAACAAAACAAAAAATGTGTTTTATTTAGAAGACTTATATATAGATGATTGCATGATTATGAATGGGTTAATTTAAAAAGGTTTTATTATCATATTTTCGGGTCATTAACATAAGTGGTTATTTACTATTATTAAGTTAGAAGACAACTTATTTTAGCTATTTTTGTTTGATTCGAACTAAAAGAGTGCGATTTTTCTCAATCAATGCAGTTTAAAAAGATTTTTTAGACATCTGCTGTGTATAATTTGATAAGATGTTAGAAAGTGTTTCTTTTTTTAATTACGAATATAATAGTAATAAAAATCTGGTGATTAAAGATACATTCTATATTTATAGATAAAAATTAATCAAAACTATTCTAGAAATCTCATTAAATAATCACACAAATAGTTTTTTAAAGAGTATTATTGCATCAATAGATAGATTCTATAAAAATTGATGAATATCTCACATGAATACATTCTATTCCTATACGAAGAAATTTGATAAACGAGAGTACACTTATGTCCGTGTCTACTTCCTATGAATATATTTCAAAATGACTCCTACAAATCTTTGAATAAAAGATATTTATTAAATTATTTAATATAACCTCATTAAGAGATCAATATTGTATAAATTATATATCATGATTAATTACGATGATTTATATTTTTTGAGTACAACTAAGTAAAATTCATTTAATTGTCTAGTTCTATTAGTACCCTTTGCAATGATAAAAAAAATCTACATTCTTACAATATTTGCTTCTGGGTATAATAGTTAGATTTACTATCACGTTCCATAGACTTATATAACATGTCACTGAATGGATCGATATGTGGTAAATGCTAGTTATTCATATAATGAGAAATATATTTCTTATGTTGATCTTATCTATAACTAACTTATTTAATAGATCTTCTTTTTTTATTGCTATTAAATTTTACCTTTCTAACAATCATGTTCACTTATTTCATCTGTTTTTGGCAATTGTTTTTCCATTAATGGAAATTTAAATTTTGTTGGAACATCTGTAGTTATAATTGTACATCGTGTCGATGTTGTATTCGGAAATAAAGTACGTCGATGTAAATTTAATAGACTTCGTTTAACAATCGATGGTAGACGTTTCGGATAAGATAATTTTTCTGATGATATTAGTTTATTAGATATTGTTTCAACATGATTTCGATAATTATTTTGATGTGAAAGATTTATTGAACTAGTACTTGCTTCGATTTCAATTGTACTTCGTGATGACATTTGTTGAGATATCGATGCTTTTGATTGTGCGAATGTTTCACTTGGAGAACGTACATGAATTGTTGTTCGAGGTGATGCATCAATAGTTGGTTCTGATATAGCACGAATAAAATGTATACGTGATGTTGTTATCGGTTTAATAAAATTATTTCGATAATGTTCATGATCAGTTGACAATCTTAAACTAAGATTATTTTGTGTTGAATAATTAAGATATATTGATGGAGGGTTACATATTCGTTCTAATTTTCGTACTAAATTTATAATAGCAATGAACCATAAACCAATTACTATTAAAACAAGAAAACCTTCAACAAGACTCATTCGATAAATACTATCTTCCATTCTACCTAAAAATATGTAGAGAATTATATGAAATATTTTGTTCAATAGTAACAAAGAAAGATGTTTGAGTAACTACTACTACTACTATAATAATGAATTTATAAAAAAAGAAAGAATAGATCATTGGTCAACAATCAACTATTTTATTCTATGTTATATAAAAGATGGTAATACTTATTCATCTAAGTGATTCTTCTACTTGACCGATACATATTCAAATAAAACAAAGAAAAGAATTCAACATTAATTCTATATACTCATATTTTTTCTAGCTTATAACAACGAACACATACAAAAAATATTTGTAAACATACACACATATAGATATATATTCCTGATTAAACAATAGATGATGTGAAGAACTACTTATTTTTCAAGTGTTTACTATAATCAACATATGCAGAAAGAAAACATATTGATTAATGACTCATAGTCTTTCTTTGTATAACTTACCCGAGAATTTAGAATAAAAACAAAAAAATATCTTTGAACGAATAAAAAGATGATTAGTTGATTATATCTTCTTCTTCTCTTTTTTCTCAATATAAATGAGAGTTTTTCGTTTATTCTTCTTCTATAGAAGAACAGTCTCTCGGGTAAATTACATACATATATATATATATATCAATACAATAAAAAATTTAATTAATCATTTAGATAAACATATCTATAACTAGTTTGAGTACTCAGTCTTATTTCTTTCTTCAACATATTTATGATTATAATGACATTGATTAATGTTTTTCTATGGACTATATTTACTAGTAAAGTATAGTTTAGATTCTCTTCCTTATACATCTGTCAAATAATGGGAACTTTGTGTTATAATTATTTGTAGAAAAAAAAGCAATAGAGAATAATTCGATATATGAAATTATTTTCTTACTAGTGAATATTTAAAAAACATTGATATTTGTTGTTTAGTTTAAAAACGAGATGAAGCTGAGTGGAAAGAGTAAACTAAAGAATAGAAAACGAAAAGAAGATTAATAATCTAATTATTACCATGAGTAAACATCAAAGATTTTGAGTTATTAAAAAAAGACAATGAGATAAAAGATTCTTAACATTCATTATTCTTATATGATATTACAAACATCAGAGAAAAGAAAAAAAAATCGAAACATCAATACTAATTATGACATTGTTACATAAATAATAATCAGTATTATCTTCGTATATTCAAAATACTGTATTAAGATCATTTTTTCATAATGAAACACATAGTGGTACTTATAACACATACGCATTGCTGAATGACATATGATGATCAGAAAGTTAGTTGCAAAGTTTTGAGAATCAAGTTGGAAAATAATATATTCAATGCAGGTTATGTACTTAATTCACTTGAAAATTAATGTTAAATAGCAAAGATCTTTTATGGCAGAAGACCAATTGCTATTTCTTCAACGAAATGAATCTTCGATTAATAATGTATGATTTCTTTTCTGTCATATTATGAAGCATTAAGAGATCGATACAAATGCGATGTACTCAGTTTACTGGAATCGACTGATGCATAAAAATTTGAGTGTATTTAATATATAGTACAAAGTCAAAGGGGAAATTTTATTTATAATAATGGTTAATATTGGTATTGGATTGATTTTCTTTGAAAGAAGAATGACTCTATGATATCGATTCTCAAGAGTAAATGTGATCAATTTGAAGGATTAATTATAGAATGAATTTATTAATGCTAAAAAATTCATATTTCGTTGTACTTATGTAGTTTTATCAAACTATCTATTTATAAAAGGTATTTTATATCGAATGAAAACTCCCAGAAATCATTGAAAGTAATTATAAAACTTTGAACATTATAGTTTATATTGCAATGTAGTTTTTCTTAAATACCAACAAAATAAAATTTAGCTGCGATATTAGAAGTTTGTAAATACATATAACAGATAGTTACTAGAGAGATGAATTAAGTCTTCTAATCCTTTTTCCTCAGTATCGATTATCAGTCAACTACCTCTATCATTGAAAGTGCATATATAACTTACCTAGTCAAATAACGTAGTGTGTCTGTATTTGATTGGTTTAGTCAATATGATATATCTTCTAGATCCTATATTATGACTGCATCTAGTATAAATCGATATTTTAGAACAAAATGGCATCACTTAGCTTACATCTCTTAACAATTTTACTTGGAGCTTTCTTTATTTTTTTGGGTCATCTTCATTTAACACCACAATTCTTTCCTGAATATCATAATCAAATCAAAAATGAATTTGGAAAATTTAATAAAGAATTTCCACTCCATCGTCAAACTAATTGGCGTCCATATGCAAAAAATTATCGTTTAGCTACTGGTATAACTGAAGTTGTTTGTGGTGCTTTATTACTTCTTGGTAAATATTTTATTTTTTTCAATAAAAATTTTCTATGAATTTATTTTTAGGATTCTCACAAACATTAGCAACTATTGTTTTATTAATGATAATGACAAATGCAACTATTACATTTCAAAAATTAAATTATCGCATCGAATATATTGGTGCAGCAATTTTCATCTCTTTTCTACTTGTAGTACGACTTGTTTTAGTATCAAAATCAAAAGTTAAACACGCAGTTAAAGCTACTAAAGAGAAAATTGAGAAAAAAGTTAAATAAATTAACATATTGATAATATAAAAGATTTATGATCTCTCTCTCTCTTTTTTATGTATTGTTTGTTTCATTTCCTTTTTTTTATATCTGATGTTTTGTTTTTATATCGAAAAAAAGCTAGAAAAATCGATACGTGAAGATTTTTTATCATTGCAATTAGAACATTCAGTTTTCTTTTCTATGTTTGCTGTGCCTATTAGAATAAAACTTTCAGTTTGATTTTTTTATTACAATCATTTCAAATTATATTAGTTTGATGATCAATACATAAGACAATATCATATAAAAATGCATTTATATATATATATTCATTTATATGCATTACGAATGAATAATTCAATTATTCTCTTCATATTCCCATTTTCTGTCATATATAATTACTTTATTTTAAAGGTATCCGAAGGACACTTGTGCATTTTTTTCTGCTCGTCTAAAATTACATTTTTATATTGAAAATCGAGAAAAAAAGTATAATGGATATATTGATAGAAAGTAAAGCGCCATCGGCAATAGATTGTATGGTATTTATTGAAACTGTCTAGTGTACCTATATGATCCTGTTTTAATTGACTGTCGTTTCATAAATCAGAGAAAGTGATTCAAAAAGAAGTATGTGACATGTTGATGATAACGGACGACACAGAAATTTGAGAATATATGAGTTACATGTTTTAATTCTTTTTTGATACAACATGTTGGGTAATTAACAGTAGAAATAAACGAGAATAAATGATAACTGACATATTGTATGTAGCATTGAACACACAGACATCCTTTTTATATAACTCTCGTTTTACTGACGTAGATAGCTATTAATCAATACTTTATTAGAGATTATTCGTAGTAGAGAAAATGATATGTTAGTATGAGTAACAGTAGCCTAGTGTTGAATGATATACAACTTGGACAACATTTAATAAATGATATTGATACTGTTTAATACTCTCTAACTTGTCGATGAAGAAATTTTGTAAAAAATAAAATAAAAATCTATAGTAATCTTCTAATAATCAGGAACAATGAAAAAATTATTATTTATTTCTGATCAAGAAGAAATAATGCCACCTTCAATTAAAATGTATCCAAATCTCAGTAGTTAAACTATATAATCAAGATTATAGTACACGAAATCAAAATCATAGTAATAATACAGAATCTTATCGATTTCTAACATTAAAAATCATCCAATAATATGCTTGAATCTATTGTTCTATTAAAAAAATATTTGAATTTTCTTCAATAAAATAAGTAAAATCTTTTAATTTGTGTTTAAATATTTTTTTGTCAATGAGAGATGTTTATATGTAATCAGGTAAGGTGGATAAAAAATAAAAGCTTGGGTTAATAGATAAATAAAACAAAATGAAACAAGCAATCCTAGCCTATCTAGGTAATGTTCATAAGAAATATTAAAGAAAAGATAAAAAAAACGTAATCGATTGCTTTGTATTAATAATCACTACGATGAACAGATCGTGAACGAATTAAAGTTGTTGTAACAACTTCAGCACGATTTTCGGCATCTTCAAGTTCTCGTTCAAGACGACGAGCACGTGTTAATACTAAAATAAAATAAATTAGAATTTAATTTTTTCCTATTAATCGTAAAGTCAACCTTGTGCAGCTGATGATTCAGCACTTTCAATTTGTGATTTATATATACGCATTTTATCGTTTGTTTTGCCTAATGTATCAGTAAGTGAAAGAATCTTAGCTTGTTCTTCATCAACTTGACTTAATAATTCTTTAACACGTCTTTCATTACGACGTAATTCTTTAAGAAGTTCTTGATAACGTGCGCGTTCTAAATCAATTTCTGTTTCAAGTTGTGTAAGCTAAAAGAAAAATAAATTTTTGCAAATCAATAAAATTCAATTTAAACTTACTCGTCCTTCATATTTAACTGCAATACGTTTTCCTTCAGCACGAGCATAAGCTTCAGCTTCATCGATCTTAGCATTACATTCACGTAATTGTTGGTCAAATGCTCGTTTTGATGCTTCAGCTTCAGCTGTTTTTTCACGTTCATGACGAATTTCTTCATCACGATGAATTAATTCAGCAGCTAATTTTCTTACCTATTATACAATAGAAATTTATTAAATTAAATAATTTCTACAATCTTATTACCCGTTCTTCAGCACTCTTAAGTTCTTGTCGAACACCAGAAATTTCTCCATGATATTGCATAGCATCTGCTTCAAATTTCTTTCGTTCTCCAATAGCCCGATTAGCTAATGTTGATGCTTCACTTAATCGTTGTTCTGAATCGTGTAATTCAAGTTCAGTTGTTTTACGAGCTTTTTCACTCTAGAAAATAAAACAAAAAAATTCAAATATCATTTCAATGCAAATAAATAACATACACGATCGAGGAAACTACGTAATTCTTCAATTTCTGAATGAAAAAGACCTAAATAAAATAAGAAAATCGTATTTTTGTCTGCTATAAAGAAATAGAAATTTTACCAAATCGTTTTTCTGATCCGCTAAGTAAATCTCTTGTTGCACTATGTGTTGTTTGTTCTTCAATAAGACGATCTTGTGCATCTTTAAGATTATTTTGAAGTTTTTTTATTTGATTTTCCAAGTCACCTCTTGATTTCTTAAGTGCGTCATAACGGATACGTGTTTCATCAAGTTCATTTTGTAATTTTGATTTAATACGACTGAGATCAGTTTTATAACGTACTTCATTTTCTTCCATTTGTGATTGTATTTGTTCGATTTGTTTTCGTTGATTAGATCTAAATATTTTTTACATATATATATATATATACATCTATGAATAAAAAAAGATTTTCTTTTACCGAAAATCTTCAAGTTCTTCTTCTTTGGCAGCTAATTTCTTTTCTAAATCACCACGCATTTTATCAATTGAAGCATTTAATACATTATATTTTGTTATTTCAATATGTATTTGTTCACGATATTCATCAATTGTTGAACATAATGATAATTTTTCAGCTTCAAGTTGTTTACGAATACGATCCATATCGACAATACGTGTATTCAAGTCAGACATTTGATTTAATAAAACATCCATTTCATCTAAACAGATATTATTTAGATTCATTCATTATTACACTAATAAAGATAAATCATTTATTTTCTCAATTTAATATGAAGATCAATTGAAAATTATTCTTTCGATAGTGTTCTAATTTAGTACTGAGGTGTTTTGAATGATTTCTACAAGCGATTGTGTAGAATAAATAAAAGTTTTATAATCTCAGATTTCACTAGTGTTAAATTTTTGACAAGTAAATAGAAAGAAAAAGAATGCTGTTTACCTTGAATGGAGACTCGCTCAGATCTTTCTCGTATACATGGTATTCATAATAGAGCTAAAGACTTTCGTTGAAAGACTGCTCTTTGTCTACAAAATGATTCTCAAAAAAACTAACATCAGATTCGTGTTTCTCGATCCTGATTAACCTTCGGTCAAAGTTTATGGAATTTAATCAGTGAAGTGCGGACACACAAGCAAGCAGAGAATTTATATTTGTAAGACTCTTCTCTACGAGGAAGAAAATTGATCTGATTCAATAAAGTTCATTGATAGATTTCATACCTTGAAAACGACGTTTGTCACGTGTAATAATTTCAATTTGTTCCGTAAGTTGATCATTTAAACTTTTAACTTTCATTAATTCACTTTGATAATTACGATTTGCTTGTACAGCTGATTCAAGTTCAGCAGTTACTTGATTTACACGTTGACGAGATTCAGTAGTTTCTTTTTCTAATTGTTTATTTAATCGAGTTGCTTCATCAGCTCGTTTACGATACTAAATAATAAAAAAAAGAGAAAAATTCCATTTAGTTTTTTTCGTCTTCAATAAAACCAAAGATTAATCTTCTTACTTTTTCAGTTTCACCACTGATTTTATCTAATTCACCTTGGAGACGTTGTTTTGTTTTATCTAAATTACTCGCTTTAGCTAAAACTTCTGTGAGTTGCTCTTGAACTTCATTAATACGTCCATTTAATTTACGTCTAAAAAAAAGAAATTCTTCTATATGTCAATTAAAAATTCATTTTCCAAACCGTTGATCTTCAATTTCTTCATTTTTTCCTTCGATATCTCTTTCTAAACGATCTCGTTGAATTCTTGCTTCTTCTTGAATTTTAATTAAAAGTTTTTGTAATTCAACTTTAGCATCAATTTCATCATCGAGTTGTAATCTTGTTGATTCTAAATCCATTTGAAATGTTTTTACTGTTGATTGTAATGTTCGGTTTGTCTAAAAGATAAAAAATTCATTTTTTTCAAAATATGAATTTTTTTTCTCACAGCCATTTCCGATTCTAAATGAAGTCTTGCTTCTTCAAGATCACCTGTTGCTCGTTTATATGCGGTTTGTAATGATGTTAATTCATATTCAAATGATTCAAGACGACGACTAAATGTTAAATTTTCTTCAACAAGATGAGCTTTTGCTGAAGTAGCTTCAGTTAATTGTCGAATAGCATCATCAACTTTTCCATTCATTTCAATTAATTTTGCTTCAAGTTCTTTACTAACTGATACAGCTTGACTTTTACCTTTTGCTAATGATTCAATCTCATTTTTTAAATCTTCAATTTCATTAAGAAAATTTTTATTTTCTTTTTCATGTCTTGATTTTCCTTTGCTTAATGCTTCAACTTGACTTGTTAATTCAGTAACTGTGTCTTGAAAACGACGACGAATTGTATTTTGATTTTCGTCGTTTTCAGTTGATTGAAGTTCAAGTTTTTGACGTAAATCATGAATTTCTTGTTTTAAACTAAAAAGAATTTAAAGTTCAAAAAGAAAAATTATTGTTTTTTTCTTCGCTATAACAAACCGTTTATTAGCTTCAATTTCTCTATCACGTGCACTAGAAGTTTCATCTAGTTGTGCTTCGATATCATCAAAATCCAAACGTAAATTTGTTAATTCTTTTTCTTGACGATATCGAACATCACGTTCAGATTTTAATTCTTCTTCAATATCATGTAAACGATTCTATTCAATTTTATATAGTAGAAATATTAGAAATAAAATTAAAAATATTAAACTTACTGATAATATAGCTTCAGTCATATTTAATTGTCTAAAAAGAAAAAGTAAAGATTTACATTCATACGTAGTATGTAAATATTAAATTATGGAATTTACATTCGAAAAACCTCTTAAGATTAATGATCCGTACAAAACAGAAACGATGAGATATCTACAAGGTTAGTTGTCTAATAAATGGATTCATACGATGATGTAACAAATAGTATATTTCTCTAGAACGAATATGTCTAGAGATCATTCGATGATATAAAATGTCACCTTGTCTGCGTTGTATTTACCTAAACTAGACATCTATCTATATAGAATAGGATGATATCATACAATTATTGGTAGAATGGATTCAGGCGCTTGGGGCTATGCTGTTTGTAATATGTATAACTATAACAAATCGACTGGTTTACAAGTTCTCTTGAGAATGATCTAGATAAGCTTAATTATATGAGTAGAGAGAGCTTCAGAAACTTTAAATAGTTTATACTGCGAGCTGAGTTGTCTTCACATCAATTAATTGACCGTCTTCGCAAAAAAGACAATTAGAAATCATCGGAAATTTTTCCCATAGATCTATCTATATTCAGGGTTCGACATTATCACCTTATATCCGGCAACACAAGGATACAAGTAAAAAGAAAGACAAATGTATATTATCTCAAACTCTTTAATTCTACTATGAATAGAACTTAAAAGCTTATTTTGCTAGAACAAAAAAAAATACATAAAACGAGACAAGAAATTTATTAGAAATATCTTGTCGGATAACAGAAATGTTTACTTTTACTCGTGTCTTATTGTATTTATACATGTGAGATAAATAGGAATCATATGAAATAATAAAAAGAAACTCTTCCTCTCTCTCTCAGTACCCCACTTGCGAAAAGAAAATATGAATCGATATTACATCTTAATAGTCTATTGGATCAAGTACATCGGAATTCTATTGTACAGCTGATAACCTCTAGTAATAATTGTCTATTTATAATTTCTCATATTAGTATAGACTTATCATAGAGTTCTTCTTGTACTTATCTGAGTCAGTAATCATAAATAGCTCGATATAAATTAGTTTCAATTCTAAAATCAACATAAATTCATTAACACGTAAAAATAAAATTTACAATAATAATAATAGATGATTTTACTTCATATTTAAACTAGAAATAATTCATAAAATGGTAACGAATTCAAATATCTTTAAAAACAAGAAAAATAACTAAATTGTATCACCATTCTAATACATCTCTATGTCATCTCAAGGAAAAATCAATCAGTTGCTAAATAGTAAAAAAATGAGACTTCTACATGATTTCCATTAGCTGTCTAACCGATCGTAATAACAGAAAAAAAACAACATGACTTAATTTTTCATTTTTCCATTATTATTTATCGATTGTATTATATACCTTATATAGTCAAACAGCAAATAGTGTTGTTGTTGTTGTTGTTCTTATCCGCAAAAAGAAAGCCAAAGAACGACTGTTTGAGTGTATCTTCCTATAGTTATCGTCTCGAAGAAGAACAAGTAAAAGGAAGAAGAAGAAGAAGAAAAAGCGTTTCCTGAATACAATCGTTTATTCCATATACATATATAGTTCTTTTTCTCTTTTAGTACAACTATACCGATGATCTAATGTAGCATATAACAAGAAGCGTTATCATCAATGAAGGAGTTTTTCTTTTTCTATTCTAAGCAAACATATCATTTCTGCAACTCATAAATAACAACAACATCAGCAAGACGATATTCCATTCGTTTATTCTAGATGGCAGAAATAAATAAAGGTCTTAATAATTTTTGGCCTTGAGGATGATTCTCTCTATGAAATAAATAATATTAAAAAAAAACGACAAAAGAAATTTTACAATAAAAATGAATTTATTTTAATCATTTATATCATAAACTGGATAATATGCTTCTTGTTCTTGTTGATTTATATTGCTATGATTCCATGATTGTGTACGAGGAGTTCGAAAAGAATTTCTTTCTGATGATTCATTTGATGATTGATGTTCTATACGTTCATAAATATTTGCATCTATTTCATTATCTTTTGATCGAATTGATTCATATGGATTCTGTGTTTTCTAAATAAATAAATGAAAAAATATTTTTTTCTATGAATGACATACAACTTACATTTTTAATTTTTGCATAAGTATCAGAAGAATTATCTGTTGATCGAAATCCTCCAGTTAAAGGTGAATTTGTATTAACTAAATCTTTTGTTCTATCTTCAATACTTCGTTGATGTTTAACAATAGGAGAATTTATTTTCGATCGTCGTTGTTGTGCTAAACTATCATAAACAAGTGTAGCACCTCCACCAATTAATTGTTTAACAACAGATGTTGTTGATGGTGGTGGATAAAAATGTTTTGGATAACTAACAGGTGGACTTGGTCTTTCTCTATGTGTACGACCATTTGCTAATGGTGTTCGATTATTTGATGGTCCTGCACTAGCTGTTCTTGTTTTATTAGTAGTTATTTCAGCTAATTGAAAAGTAAAAGTAAAGAAGAACAATTTTTTATTTAAATTTACCGGATGGACGAATAGGTAATGCTGGACGTGATGGTCTTGATTTTAAAAATTCGCCAGTATTAGCATTTGGTCCCCAAGACCTTAAACTACCTCCCTGTATAAAAATAATATTCGATATTATTTTATTTTTTTTTTATTATCATTTACTCGAATAAGTTTGGGACGAGAAGCAGCTGGGGATTGTGGAGGAGTTTCAGAATTATTATTTGGTGTCATTTGATCAAATTTTTGTTTTAATTGTTTAACAATTGGCATAAGTGGTCGATCATCTCTTGGTTTATTCAAAGAATATGGGTTAGACTAATTGTAGAAAATAAAATCAAAATAAAATCAGAAAAAATTTCATTTACTCCTTCATTATTTAAATCAGATTGTTGAAAAACAATATTAGTTGTATGTCGTCGTGTAATGTTACGTTTCTTAAAAAGAAACAAAATTTATAATTAAATCAATTGTTTTTATTTTTGAAAGAATTACTTGACGATCAGGACCAACTGTACTGCTAAGTAATTCTGGTAAACGTATTGCCCATTTGGATTTTGCTGCGTTTGAATCTATTGGTAATTGATAAGTTGGTGAAAGAGATCTTTCTTGTATAAAATCTAAGTAAGCAAAAAAAGAATTAATTAAATAAATTGAATAATTTTACTTTGAGGTTTTTGAATAGATGGTTGTCGTTGAAGAAGAAATGGTTTTTGTGTAGTTGATCTTTGATCTTCATCATCGGATTGTAAAGAACGAATACTTGTTTCATAAAGACTATGCCAATCTTTCGAAAAAAGAAAAATAATTCATTAGATATTTATTTTTATTTATTTATTTACTTCCAACTAATCTAGTTGAATAATCATTTTCTGTATTATCTTGATCATGATCATAGTTAGAATGTTTTGTTGTAAAAGATGATGTATTAGGTAATGTTATAACCGGTAAATCATCTTCGTCATGATCATAGTTATCATAATAATCCATTTAAAATATTTGTCTATGCAATATTTACTCTTGTTGATATAAAGTAGAATTCAACGTATCTCGATAAACTTCTTTTGTCTTTTAATAAAAAGAAAAAGAAAAAGAAGATATTAAACATTGAGTATACGAATATCTTCATGTGCTATGATAAAGATAAAAAAAACACTTTTTTTCTGTCTACAAACAATCCTAATGGTATATTCTTTGTTAAATAGTCAAGAATAAATTCTTTTTTTCGATTGTAATGCATTGTTGTAAATTTTTTCGTATAAATAGTTAGTAATACTTAAGAATACAGTCATTTTTGTATGTTATGACTGAAACATAATCAATTTCAAAGCTAAAAGGAATAAAAATGAAGCGAGCTATCATATTAGATTTATTCGTGTTTGTATGAAATTAATTGAATAGATAAAAAGCTTTTTTTTTTAGTTTTATTTTATAACCAAGTAGAAAATTCTTTTTGTTCATCATTATCTGATGGAACATTCTTAGATTTAGTTATAGTAAAATTTGCTTTCCAATTATTAATACGATCATTAGAGTTTTTGATAATTTCATGATTTGGAAAAATAAAATGACGTGTGTTATCGTCATAATCAGATTTTTCATCTTCAAATACACTTTCAGTTGGAGTTATTTCGTCTTCATTATCTGGAAAATAAATTTATTTTATTAATGTTTAAAATTGAGAAATTGTTTTATTTACTTTCTTCTTCAGTTATTGATTCATTTGATAAATTCATTTTGAGTAAAGTATCATTTTGAGACTTTGTCTAGTTAATAAAATATGTAAAATTAATAAATAAAGAAGAAATTGAATTTACCTCAGATGATGGATTTATATTTTGAGATGGAACATTATTCTCGAGTGTTGAAGGAATTTGAGAAATAATCAAAGACTATATAATAAACAATATAAATATATTACTAGGAAAATTAGCGCTAGCGATGTGACAGAGTACGAATACACGAACGAAAAATTGTTCTTATAATTAAATGAGAAGAAATCAAAAAGGTGCAAATCTTTCCTTGAGATAATGATAAGGCAGACATTTTTATTCAGTGACTTGATGGGATCACCAGAATCCCACTTTTATGAACAAAACTTTATCATATTTATGGCTTGGGCGCCGAAAGTCTATTCTCAACGTTTTAGATTTTCTCCTCATATAGTTCGCTCGATATTCACTAATTAGTAGATGAAAACGTCGACATTTTCTAGAGGAACATCCCTGTAAAAAATTCAAGTCAAATGAAAATGTCTTAAGATATTCACTCCTACTTAACGTGTAACAATAAATCCATACAAGATGAAAGAATAAAACATATTCAGTTTCTATATATCAGAAAGATGTATTTATCATTTCGATTTCATATAATACATATAACAAAATGTGATCAGTAATGAGAATATCATAGTTACAAAGATATACAAAACCTACCGAATCCTTTTTTTCATTCGTATATTTATCAAATATAATTTTTGCTAATTTTTGATCAAAATCTGTTGAATTTACCAATAAATTCTAAATTATTCATTTTTATTATAGGAATAAAAATATAAAATAAATTACTTTATCAGTTTGGTGTAGATTTATTTGAAGAATAGATTCAGTTTTTTGTATTAATAAATTGCGTAAATCATTCTCATATGTCACATTTACTTGAGTATTTGAACCTAAATAGTTTATATTTCAAATCGGTTGATACATCGTATATGATGAGGAACTTTTTCTAGAAATTGCCTATATAAATTACTGTTATTTCGAGGCAGAAATCAGGTCACTAGATCTTTCGATGATGAAAAATTCAAACTAATTTTAACCATGTTACATTTGTGGAAATTATTATTCATTCTCTGATCTCTCCTCTTGCGTATATATAGAAACTAATGATAATTAAATAAGTAAAAAATATCTTTCTATTGAAGTAAAAGAATAACAAACGAACCAGAAATGAAAAGCTTTTAATAATATCACACAATGACGTCAAATTAAATAGACAAGTGTAAAATAGCATTAAATATGACGTCGAAAAGTTTTTTTCTGATAATTTATTTACTGATAAGCAATTACAACTGAAAAACCTTTTAAAAAACTCATCTATCGACCGATGTTACTTCTCAAAAAAAAGAAAAACTAGTGCTAATTAATATATTTATTTGTTATTTTAAGTATTTATCTATATATCCTTAATAATAAAAAAATAAATCACTATTTATTTCAATTAAATGGGTCTCTTACGTCGAAGTGGTCCACTAATAGCAGTACGAGCACGAGTAATTTCTAATATAATTTGTTGTTGATGATTTTTTAGACTTTCTTTAACTATACATATTGAAAAAATTTATATAAATTTTTTTTGTACATAATCAAAAACAATTTTGTTACTTTCGGTATATAATGGGAAGCAATTGTTAGACGTATTTGATTCAGGTATATCTGATTTTAAATTATCGATAAGTAGAATTAATCGTTGTACATATTCATTTAATTCATTTCGAATATTTTTATCATGAACAACATACGAACACATAGAACCTATAGAAAATTAAATATTTTTTCGAAAATTTTAATAGTAATACTAAACTAACCCGAATCTTTTGAATCATTACTATTATGTATTCGTAATGTTTCATATCCTAGATCATCATCGAGTTCATCAGTTTCAGCTAGAATAAATATATGATACAATCTGGTTTCTTCTACTGTAGAATGCTAAATAATTAAACATACCAAGTACTTTATCACGTTTGTATAATTCACGAACAATTTTTGCACTTCCACATCGTTTAAATTTCTTACCAGTTTGAAGATAAAACCATTCACCTGTTAAACATTCCAATTCTCTA